TAATAATAATAATAATAATAATAATAATAATAATAATAATAATAATAGCAGCCACTAACTTTCCTGTTAGATATTGATAGTCCTTGATTTTACAAACACAATTGAGCTCACAATTTCTGTTGCTAAGCGAGGCAGTTGTGTTTGGTAAATTCTGGGCCGTTTTACGACCTTTCTTTGCCACGGTTTTTCAGTGAATCCCTGCGGTTGTTAAGTGAGGAACATAGTTGTTAAGTAAACCTGATTCCCTCATTGCTTATCAGAAGGTTGCAAAAAGTCATCACATGACCCCGGGACATGGCGACCGTCATAAATATGAACCAATTGCCAAGCATCCAAATTTTGATGATGTGACCATGGTTGTCATGAGTCCCTTTTCCCCCCAGGGTCTTTGAATGGTCACTAAATGAACTGTTGTAAGTCGAGGATTACCCGTAAAAGGAATTTTAAGGGGGAATTTACTACAGTCTATGTAGTAAATTCTTCCTTAGCTGATCTTGACCTTGATGAGATCCAGTGAGGTGACTTACAGAGCACTTCATTGGATCTCATGGGTGTAGGCTAGATTGAGAAGTTGAAGAAACATAAGCAAACACCTTCTGGTGATAAGAAACCAACATGGACTTTCTGGAGCCCATGAAGTCCAGCAGAAGTTGATGGATTGACATTTTGGGCCATCAATTTGTTGCCAACTCTCAGCTACCACATAGATACCGTGTTTCCCTGAAAACAAGACCCTGTCTTATATATATATATTTGCCACCCAAAAAGGCACCAAGGCTTATTTTCGGGGGATGTCATCCACTGACTCACCTCACTTGCCTTTGTTGCCCCCCGGCCTCCTTTTCATTGTCAAGAGGCCTTCAGGAACTTCTTCTACGGCCGGCAAGGCTTCTCCTGAAGGCCTCTGCAGCCGATAACAGAGGTCCGGATTGATCCAGAGCTTCGTTATCAGCTCCAGAGGCCTTCAGGAAAGCCTTGCCAGCCTTGCCGGCTGCCGAAGAAATGGGCTGGCAAGGCAAGTGTCGGTGTGTGTGAGGCCTGGCTACAATTGGCCAAAGGGAAATAGTAGGGCAGCTCCATCCTCCCCCCCTCCCCACTCTAGCTTAATTTTTACCCCTCTACTCTGGAGTGGGCGGGATTGTAATTAGGCCTTACTTTGGGTGTAGGGCTTATATTGGACGCACATATAAAAATCAAGCTAGGGTTTACTTTCAGGGTAGGTCGTATTTTCAGAGAAAGAGGTTAGATCTTCTCCATGATGGTCTTTCATAACCTGGTCCTTCAAGTCTCCTTCCAATGATCACTATTTTAACTAAATCCTATCTTATTCCTGATCTTTCTCTTCTTCCCTTTCCTTCTACCTTTTCACCATCACAACTTTCTCCAGAGAGCTGGTTGTTCCTGTATTGTGACCTCCAACCAATTTTGTCCCATCAGGATTGATGCTATGGGGCATTGCATGCCAAAACAAGTAGACACAAAGATAATTCCCACCCCCTGTGCCATCGCTCCGTTGAACATCTAATTCCCACAACATTGTCTTAGGCTTAAAGATATTTACCCATGTAGTAGGCTGTGGTGGATCATCTTTCTCATCTTCTCATCTTTCCTACTACTTTCTCCTATTGGCATCTTATGATTTATCTCTTGTTGGTATCTTACAATGAATAATCTAACTTATGATTTATGATCTATGACCTATCATTTTGTTGTCTGTATTTACACTGAGAGGTTATGCATGGAAAATAAACTCCTTGTGTGCCCAATCACACTTGGCCAATAAAGAATTCTATTTTTTTCTGTTCCGTTCCTTTCCATTTGCTACTCTGTTCCACTCCATTTTCCATTCCACTGTTCTGTTTTGTTCCGTTCCATTCCATTCCATTCCATATTTCTATTCTATTCCATGTTTTCTATTCTATTCTATTCTATTCTATTCTATTCTATTCTATTCTATTCTATTCTATTCTATTCTATTCTATTC